TTTCTCTCTGTGTCTCTCTCCTTCTCCCTCACTCCCTCCATCTCCCTCTCCCTGCTCCCTCCCTCCCTTCCATTCTCTCTAAAAATCAATGGAAAAAATATCCTCCAGTGGGGATTAACCGAAAAAGAGAGAGAGAAGTTGAATTAGAGATGTGTTTGGAGATTGAAACCATGAGATTTGCTAATAGATTTGCATGGGTCGGGGGCAGGAGACAAGGAAAGGGAGAAATCAAGGGTGGCATTAGATGAAAACCATTTGCTGAGATAAAGGAGACAGGGAGAAGTAGTTTTGGGTGTTTTGAACTTGCTAAATTTAGATGCTTATGTGTTTTTATATGGAGATGTCAGGTAGGCAGTCAAGCGCAGAGGAGATTTCAGTGAGAGATGTAGATTTGGGAGTTTTCAATTTATAGATGACATTTAATTTAAAGTCATGGGTAGAGATGAGATCATCGAGAATGAGAATGTGAGAGAGAGAAGAGAAGAGGGCCCAGTACCGTGCCCCGAAGAACTCCAACGTGCAGAGCTTGACTAGTGGAGACAGAAAAGGTGCTGCCGCAGAGGACATAGAAAACTAGTCGAATGTGCTGATATGGACTCCAGGGTGGACGGTGTTTAGAGAAAGGGAAAGTGGTAACTATGTCCATTGCTGATCCAGAAAAGTGGCCATTGGATTTGGTAACAAGAAGTCATTGAGGACACCGAGAAGAGCCGTGTAGTAGCTTGAGGAAAGATGGGAGCTGGGGAAATGTCGTGTAGATATCTGTGCTTCTCAAACCTTAGATGTAGATAATTACCTGGAAATCTTGTCAAAATGTAGATTCTTTTCCAGGGCCTGAGATTCTGCATTCTAAGAGCATCCAGATAATTCCAGTGCCGCTGGTCCATGGATTAGTGGTTCTCAAATTCCAGTGTATGTTAAAGTTACATAGAGGGCCCTGCTGGTGTGACTCGTTAGTTGGGCATCATCCCATGCACTGAAAGGTTGCTGGTTCCATTCCTGGTCAGGGCACATGCCGGGGTTGTAGACTCAATCCCCTGCAGGAGACAGCTGATCAGTGTTCTGCTCTCACATGGATGTTTCTCTCTCTCTCCCTCTCATTTCCTCTCTCTAAAAATCAATAAAAAATCTTCTAGAAAACTATGTGGAGGGCTTGATAAAGTACAGATTATTGGACCACTTCAGACTTTCTGATTCAGTGGGTCTGGGGTGGTACCTGAAAATTTACATTTCTTTTAAGTTCCTACGTGGTACCAAATCTGCTGGTCTAGGAACCACACTTTGAGAACCACTGGAGAGGTTTTAACTGTGATGGGGAGCTATCAAGAGAGATTTTTCATTTGTTTGTTGAGGGTGGCAAATAACTAGAGCATTTTTATGCTGATGAGAATGATCCCTTAGGGAGATGATATAAGAGAGAAAGGGAACAAAGGAGTCAGCCCTTGAAAAGATGAGGGAAGATGGGCTCTGAAGCATGCTTTGAGGTCTTGGGTTTTTATAATAAAGAGCATGCGCCCTTCACTATGGCAAGAGAGAATGCAGAGGAGATGGGTCCATGGGTTGGTAGATTTAATGATAGGCAGATGCAGTTCCCCTTTGATGGTTTCTATTTCCTCAGTGAAGACATGGGCTACTCCTGAGGAAGGAGGGTGACGTTGTCAAAGGCTGACGTTGAGTAGGAAAATCAACTTTAAGAAAAAAAATGGCAGTATTGAGAGGCTTATTTGAGGTTAAGGTAAGAAATTAAGAGTGAAACCGATCTGTATGATTGTGATTTCCTTTTGTTCTTTTTTTTTTCTTTAACCACAGTTAGTTTTTCAACCACAGTCAGACATGGAGAATTAAGTAGTTGAGATCTCCCAGAGTTAAAGTTTATCTAGGTCAGTGGTTCTCGACCTTCTGGCCCTTTAAATACAGTTCCTCATGTTGTGACCCAACCATAAAATTATTTTCGTTGCTACTTCATAACTGTAATGTTGCTACTGTTATGAATCGTCATGTAAATATCTGATATGCAGGATGGTCTTAGGCGACCCCTGTGAAAGGGTCGTTCGACCGCCAAAGGGGTCGCGACCCACAGGTTGAGAACCGCTGCTCTAAACCATCTCTCCCAAAATTATTTTGTTGGAAACAAAGATCGAATCCTTCATCTTCTCCCAGCTCATCCGATTAGATTGGTGTGTGCGGGGAGGGCTTGGGGGGGGGGGGTTATTGTTGCCTCTGTAGTGTTGGAGTTCAAGTGATGAGGGTACTTTTCCATTATACTTTCGTGTTTTAAATGCATAGAACCAGGTTCTTCGTGAAAACGCTGCCCTCACGTGGGGCCACGCCCCTGTACGCGACTGGGGTCTAGTTACTGCTCCCACGATGGCCCTGGGTGGAGAGTTGTTTTTGAATCTGTGCGTTGGGTGGGACAAGGCCGAACTTATTTAAAAACGTGTCTCTGTGAGTCCGTTTAGCCACGAGCACGTGTGAACAGGTGCTGGCTGGCGTGTCTGCGGGGCCATCGCGGGCTCGGGAGGGAGAGGAGTTCCTCCCGCAGTCGGTACTTCTGGGGGGCGGGGGGCGGGGCGGGTGCTGATGCCGGGCGCCTGTTTCGTAATGTGACGTGTCTCTCGTTTAGTAGTTACATGAAGACATCCCGGCTGCCGCTCTACGTGTAAGACCCAGTTACCAGTTCTAGCAAGACCATCCTTCCCCAAGATTGATAAGGCGTTCTTCTCTCTCTCTCTCTCTCTCTCTCTCTCTCTCTCTTTAATCCTCACCCGAGGATATTTTCCCATTGATTTTTAGAGAATGTGGAAAGGACGGGGAGAGACAGAGAGAAACATCGATGGGAGAGAGACACATCAATTGGTTGCCTCCTGCACGCACCCTGACCGGGCCGGGGATCAAGCCACAACCCGGGCACGTGCCCTTGACCGGATTTTGAGAGCCAAGTTTTTTAAACTTAAACTATATAGGTAGGTACAGTCAACTTTAAATTCAACTCTAAATTCACGGTTTTCGTCTTCCGTTTTTCTTTGCTTCTTCTTTGTAGCCGTCTCAAACAGGGCACCTAAAAAAGTGTTTCATTTTATAATAATAAAGCCACCAACACAAAAGAATTACAATTCTTAAATTGATGACAAAAATCCCTGTAGGATTTGCAGCTGGTTGGAAAAATACAGGTAACTTTATGCTTCGAGTAGGTACTTTTGTCACCCGCGCACGATTTGCGGACGTGACTAGCACTAACCACTGCACAATGAGACTGCGGACTGACTGGCTCACTCAATTCGTGCATGAATCGCGCGCACCTCCCCCGCGCTGCGTCTCCCGTCGCCCAGCCGACGCCCAACTGACGCCCAACTGACCAGCGGACGTGACTAGCACTAACCACTGCACAATGAGACTTCTTCAAAATAGACTCGCCCGGCCGAAAACCGACTTCTGCCCATGGGCCACGAAGTTTCAATCGCATTGTACGTGCGTGCCCCCACGTGGTATTTTGTGGAAGAGCCACACTCAAGGGGCCAAAGAGCCACATGTGGCTCTAAAGCCGCGGTTTGCCAACCACTGTTTTATGTGATGGGCCTCTGCCTACACCTCTGACCTCATTCTCTTCAGCTTCGCCTGCTCCCTGTGCTTGCACGCCATCTTTCTCTCGCCCCTTCAGCATGCTGTAGTTTTTCTACCTGTTTCCTTTCCCCTTGGTTTGCACCCGCTCTTCTGAGAGGCAGCATAGCAAAGTGGCTAATAGCATGAGCTCTGGTTCCAGACTTCTTTCTGCCACTTTCTAGCTTTGTGAAGGTTATGCAACCTCTCTGGGCTCCAGTTTCCTCGTTTGTAAAAGTGATAATAGTACTTACTACAGAGGGATGTTGGGAACTAAAAGAGTTAATTTTTAAAATGTCAGATGCTTTCAGTGGTTCCTGGTATTCAGTGAAGATTCAATAGGTATTAATTTTCTTTAATGCTTGAAGCTCTTTTTTCCTGTTTCTTTACTTGGTTGCTACTTACATTCAGTTGTGTCAGCTTCCCCAGACATCCTAGCTAAAGTAGCGTGACTCCATTTGTTTTCTTAACCCTGTATACCATTATCCTGTTTTATTTAGTCATAGCATTCATCACTATATTTTTAATGTTTCATGGTTTTTTTTAGAGAAAGAAGGAGAGGGATAGAGAGATAGAAACCTTGATCAGCTGTCTCCTGCATGCTCCCTACTTGGGATCGAGCTCACAACCTGGGCATATGCCGGAAAGGGGATTAAACTGGTGCCCTCTTGATTCATGGGTTGACACCCAACCACTGAGTCACACTGGCTGAGTTATCACTATTTGAAGTTATTTTATTACTTTTCTCTTCCCCTCGCCCCCCTTCCTCTGAGGGTAGGGGTTTGTTGACTTGTTCCCTACTGTATCTCAGCTTCTAAAAAGTGTCAAATACTTTAAAGGTGCTCAAAAAATTTTTGTGCCAACTTGTCCTGAAAACATGGTGGTTTCCAAGGCCTCTACTCTGAACAGCCAGCATATTGTGGCAAAGGGACAGTGAGACGCAGGCAGAGAGGACAGACGAATCTTGCTCTTTGTGTATCAATCTGTTGGCTTCTCTAGATCAGGTGGCCTTTTTTTTTTGAGCTACTGGGACATAGCCACATCCATTTTTAAAATTTATTATCTGGCTGCTTTTCAGCTACAACCACAGAGTTGAGTAGTTGTGACAGAGACTCTAAGCCTCACAGAGTCTAAAATACTTACTGTCCAGCCCTTCACAGAGAAGTTTGCTGACCCCTGATTTAGATGTGTAGAAAAAAAAGGCTAATAGGAAACACCAAAAATAATAAGTTTTATTTGGGTAATGGAATTACAGGTTATTTTAGTTTTTATCTTTATACTTTTTTGGTATTTTGTTATAGACCCATTTAATTTGAAAATGAAAGAGCCTTGTAAATGCTAAATTTTGAAGTATTTAGAGCACATTTAATGATGGGTCTTTTTGTGTGTGTTTTTTTCCTTAGTGCTGCTTTTGACACAAAAACTGGGTTACGTGTGGCCGTGAAGAAGCTCTCCAGACCGTTTCAGTCCATCATTCACGCCAAGAGGACCTACCGAGAGCTGCGGCTGCTCAAGCACATGAAGCACGAAAACGTAAGTTCTTCGCTCAAGAGAGAACAGAGTCTGCTCTGAAGGGACTAGAAAAAATTGTTTTCATTACTGCCGATGGAAATACATTCGAGGGCATCAGACTTTGGACCATGCTTCTTACACTGGGTGTTAGTGGCCACTGCATTATGTCAAAGCCTTGGGATGCAATTGGTGCATCTTCTTGGAATTTGGGTTTTACTTAAAGATTTTTAGAGGGAAAACATTAAAATAATTTTTTAATAAAAAAAAGATATATTATGAGTTATAGCAATTCATAGTGAGTTTTAAGAGAATATATTTTTAAAAATGTGTTCTTTACCTGGTTTACTTAAGGCCACCTTATCAGAATATGGGGATCCATGGCTATTTTGTATTATGGGTTATTTCAGTGGAGAAGTTTGAGGAAGGAATACCTTAGGCTCACTCAAAGTCCTATCAGCGATGGCTCTTATTTTATGTACAAATTAACATTATAATTTTTCTTTTCGGCCTGCAAAAGCAGCTTTACCAGATTTGGGTATTTTAATAAATATGACAAAGACATTATTTAAATTAAAAAAACTTTTTATTTTCTATCAATTTGGAAATTTGAGAGCAATGCCATCCTGCTAAGGAGTGCTTAAAAGTTCTAATTCTAATATATAAAGAGCCAGGGTCCATCATGACCTAAACGTCCAGACGGACAACTGAACACTAGGCTAGGGTCCCAGCTGGTACAGCGGAAGTCAGTCCTGAGTCCCGGCCACCCGCGGCACAGCGGCAGGAGGGAGCTGTGGGAACGGAGCCATGCTGCCATCGGACTAGCCTCTGGGCCCCCCCCACCCCCCTCAGGCTCCAGGGAACCAGAGCCATGATGCCATCGGACTAGCCTCTGGGTCCCTCCTCCCGGCCCTCAGGCCTGGGGAACCGGAGCCATGCTGCAATGGGACTGGACCCTACCCAAGGGGTCCCGGATTGTCAGAGCGTGCAGGCTGAGCTGAGAGAGACCACCA